AATGATCCAAGCATCAAATTAATTAAAACATTACCCCATACCTGAATAATTGTGTGTTTGTGTTCTAGTGTCAGCTGTGGTAGTTCAGAAGTTGTCGATGTAGTTTTGGTGGTGGATTGGTGTTAGTCTAGCAGCTTCAGTACTTCTTACATAGTCAATCCTTCCACATGTTGAAGATCACAGTCAATCAATGCCTATAATCAATGACATGGACTGCTGCCATAGTAATAAGATTAAATCTTAATTTCAGTCTTAAGCGAGACAACCTAGCTTTTAACCCTCATACTTAATGCTGTTTGTTTGCCTCTCGTAAAGAACTGCTGAGTGGTGCTGTGTTACTCTAGTAAACAAGTTCCTTGTTTCCACTTGTTCCAGAGTTTTTCAGTCATAGATGATTCTAACCCTGCCAGTCCCAGTTCAGACATCTCTGGGTTAGTTGCTGAACCCAATCTGTCTGGGCGCTCACACACTTTAATCTTCTCTTCCAGCGAGGTGAGTGCTCTCCTTGTTGCACAGTCACAAAAGCCGTGTGGGACGCCTTGATGTTGCTGAAAGGGGACATTCTCAAGCATGCTCTTTGAGCTTCGCCCTCCTTTCATAGTACAGATTAAGTCATGAATGGAGAGGGAATATAAGAGAGCTGCATGTGTGCCTGTTAAATCTTTTTGTTTTGTGTTACTGTGAGTCTTGTGGCTTAGCCTTTTCTGTTAGCTGATGTTAATAGTTTGAACTTGTGCAACCAGTGCTTCGTTTGTTTTTTTTTGTTTTTTTACAAGCTTTGGCAGTGCACAGAACCTTGTTGACTGCTCCGCTGCCTGTTGAGTGATGTTTCACTGTCTGTTTTTTCTGATGTCGTCAATTCTTTTCAGGTGTCTCAGGAAAACATAAAGACATTGACATGCATCAGTGTTGTTGGTACTTTACTGTCTTTGCACGCTTTTGTTTTTCTCTCTGAGCTAGATTAGGAAATGCAAATCAACTCGTAGGACATGTCCTTTTGTTGGCTTTCTTCGGGTGTCTCGACCAGCTCATAATTCCTGGCAAAATTTTCTCACCTACACAAAGTTGCAATTTTAGCTTGCTGACATTTTTAGATCTGTTGCTCAACACCCATCACTATACTTTGCATTACACAAGGCAACACAAGCCCATGGCATTATTTAGTCGATGAACATGAACTATACATCTTTATTCTGTATAATGTATTTTCCCAGCATTTTGAGTCATAATCTTTAAAAAACAAACAAACACGTGGCCCAAAAAAAAAGGTGGTATAAGGGTGGTATAAATTCTTTGCTGCTCTAACAGAAGCAACAGTATGAGGATTTTAATATTTGTTAATATCTGTTTCCTCTGCAGACTTTGGATGACGAACCAGCAGCCACAGGAAAAGAGTATCAGTGGCAGAACCGGCCAGTGTCTGATTGGACCAATCAACAGGTCTGTCACTGGTTGATGGGCATGAATATGGACCAGTACACACCCGAATTCACCGCTAAGGGAGTGGACGGCCAGCAGCTCTTACACTTGGACAGCGACAAATTAAAGGTAAAACACAAAATTCAAATACAGCACTTACAAATGAGTCAGTGTTGTAGATTGATCAAACAAAGTTTGTTATAGAAAAAAAATCTTCAGTCAGGTCAGCCTGTGACTGCCACCTTGTGGCCAGATTTAGGTTTCACATTTCTAACTGGTGTGGGGTTAAAGTCATGTCACGAAGCGTATTAGTCAGACTGTGGTGTTTATAAGACTAAATATTTGTCTGATTTCACTGCTACATTTGCATTTCATATAACACAAGTTTGAAACTAAAATATGTTATAAAAAGTATATTAAAAAAAGTTGTTTCTTTGTAAAAGGGCAGCGTTAGAGCTGATTTAGACTTTTGCAGTGAATCTTTGTAGAGCCTACGATATAACCTGTGTAAGAGGCCAACATCGTGGACAGCATTTATGGGGGTGGGTGTGTGGCATAAATGCCTTGTGGTCATCACCTGGTGTTTTATATTCAATGGCAGCTCATAGAAACAAATAAAACTCCAGGACTTGTTTCCCTCCTGGGTCACTCTTTGATGTGGTCAGGTTTTTGTTCCTCAAGCTTTCCCACTTTACATTCCCTCACATGCATCCTGGTGGTTTCAGCAAACCTTCCTTTAAACATTTGCTGGCCTTACATTGTCCTTACATTGAGGTAATGATTGTTATTTACTCAGTGATAAATTCAAAAACTGCTGTGAAAAAGTAGTCCCTAGTAGCATAGGAGGGGTTTGCAGTGACAACACACGGACGGCATCAATTTCTCCATACATCCACAGTTAGCGCTGACTCTCTACTAAACATGTCAGTTTGAAGATCCCAGGTTTTTTTTGTGATATTTTCTGACAGTTAACATAATTAAATTATGATGAAATAAATGGTTTGAAATGTCCTAATTTTGAAATGTTTCAGTAATGGTATGGAAAATGTGGTGGAATTATATTTACCCCAAGTCTGTGCTTGATTTATTGATTTATTTTTAATTTTCTTTTCTGTCAGGCACTTGGAGTGACGAGTCAGAGTGATCGCTCAACCATCAAGAAAAAGCTGAAGGACATGCGGAAGGCCCAAGAGAAGCTGGAGAAGCAGCGGGAGAAACGAGAGAAGGAGGTTCGACGCAGTGCAAAACTGCCCCTGTCCAGTGACTCCGTCTGCTGAGGCGTCACTTCGGCGATTATGCATTGCATAAAGTTCATCAACATCACAATCCGGAGAGAAATGTTTTGTTTGTTTGTTTTTAAATAACGTGACATTGTCCATGCCGGCAGCCACAGAACATATCCGTGCCAGGAGCAGCCCTGTGCTGTGATTTATGTTTATACTGTTTGTTTTCTCCAAAATGCATCATCAAAATCAAATTTTAACTCAAAGATGGCAAACGTCAAAACATTTGCCAAAAAAGAGATCCTAGCCTTTTTACCACTAAAAAGTCAGAAGTGATAATTATTAAAGTCTGTATTGAGACATAATGTAGTTCCTGCAGATCATGCACACATTTACCTATCGAAGTCAAATGTATACTGATTTTTTTTCTTTTTTTGTTAAAGCATTTTATATTTTTTCTAAAATGATATGCCCGTTTCAGTGTTGAACGGTTAATGTACAGCTGGATAAAAGCACTATATTTGTCTTTTAAGCTTCAAGGGGCTACAAGGTTTTAAATGTATAAATGAGTTTTATACATGTGCCTATTAACTGCATATCTTTTTTTTTAATTTTTACTTAAATATCATTGTTCATTTTATATTATCAAAAATTTTCTACTAAGTAGAATAGCTAGGCCATCATTTTTGCTGAATGGAAAAGCAAAAAGAAATCAAGCTGGGACAAGGTGAATGCTGCTCTGCTGTCCCCAAGTCTGTGTCGTTAGTGATGCTCCATGTAAATACAAACAGCGTGCAGGTCTGCTACACGTGCACCTCACTGGTCCATTAAACAGCTTGTGACAATGACTTGTGGGAGGCGGGATTTGAGGTCTAAACAGTAAAGAGTTCACCGCGAAACCGAAGTGCTTCCTTTCCTCTCGAGCATGACTCCACGTTGCGTATCGATTGAGACATATTGGACTGCAACCGCAAAATCAGAGAAATGTTTCTTGGTGTATGCAACGTCAATAAACTAATTTTCACTTTATGTGGCCTGTGTGCTTTTATGTTGCTGCTCTTTCAAAAAGCAAAGCTTGTATGCACAACAGTCTCAGGGTTAGCTTCACAGACCTGAGTCAAAACCCACCCAAGTAACGAGGTGAATATTCGACTGATTGCTTAAGATGTTGCTACAGCTTTTATATACAGCTGCAGACTATTAAAGTCTGCTTTAACCAGATGTCAGTGATGTAGCTCATCTGGCACACAATTCACAGGTGAGTGTAAAGAAAGTGATGTTATTGTCATCGTTGGTTTGCTGTAGCTGAGGCAGTTTGCAAAAGTCGTATCCAGCACTAATTTCATTCGACTAAAAATAGAGGAGGAGTGAGTCTTGAGAAAGTAAAGCCATTTTTCTCTTGGACTCGGTTTGTGTGAAAACTTGTTATGAGATCACTGTGTGCAAGTCCAGTTACATTCTGACCAATACTGTCAGAGCAATAACAAACGCCTCATCGTGGCAGCACATCAGTCAATTGGCCGGCTGAGTTAAACATGTGACATAAGCCTCAATCCAGCAGACGTGTGGTCTAAAACTAAAAACAGGCAGTAGTCAGTGTTTGTAACTGTTTATTGAAACTTTTGCCCCATGGCAATGATTTCATATCTGATGCCTTCAACAGTCAAACTGCTGGTGTTCCAGTTTTAATTACATACTTGACAGAAATCGGTGATCACAAATAAACAAGTTTGTCTCACCTCGACTCTGCATGCACAAACCTATTTTAACAAAAGTAATTATCTGGAAAATAA